AGCATGACGGAACAGAAACGCGAGGGACAAAAGCGTTGTTGAAATGGCTGTCAACAAATAAAGGACCAGGTATAGAAAGCCCCCAGCGACGAGTTCAAAATATGAGCAAGTTAATTCTCGATTGTTAAACTTAGTCCAAGAATACCCTTTCTCCAACGTACAAAATCACTTTAAAGCAGTAGCTTTAAACTCAACCATTTAAACTTAGCTTTCCATAATTTGTATTTTTAACTAATTTATTTGGTTTTTTTGTTAATAAAGTTTTTCATATTGTCCTACTTAGAACTATAGAATAAGTGATGAACAAATTGAATCAATAATAATCAAAAAAACGCAGACTTACTCAATCTAACCCAAACTAACCCGTCCGCCTAGTGCGATCTAGTCCTCGTAAGTTAGCATTTTATTGCGGACTTACTCAATCTAACCCAAACTAACCCGTCCGCCTAGTAAAATCTACACCTCGTAAGTTAGCTTTTATTGCAGACTTACTCAATCTAACCAAAATTAACCCGTCCGCCTAGTGCGATCTAGTCCTCGTAAGTTAGCATTTTATTGCAAACTTACTCAAACTAACCCGTCCGCCTAGTGCGATCTAGTCCTCGTAAGTTAGCATTTTATTGCAGACTTACTCAATCTAAACCAAATTAACCCGTCCGCCTAGTGCGATCTAGTCCTCGTAAGTTAGCATTTTATTGCAAACTTACTCAAACTAACCCAAACTAACCCGTCCGCCTAGTGCGATCTAGTCCTCGTAAGTTAGCATTTTATTGCAGACTTACTCAATCTAACCCAAACTAACCCGTCCGCCTAGTAAAATCTACACCTCGTAAGTTAGCTTTTATTGCAGACTTACTCAATCTAACCAAAATTAACCCGTCCGCCTAGTGCGATCTAGTCCTCGTAAGTTAGCATTTTATTGCAAACTTACTCAAACTAACCCGTCCGCCTAGTGCGATCTAGTCCTCGTAAGTTAGCATTTTATTGCAGACTTACTCAATCTAAACCAAATTAACCCGTCCGCCTAGTGCGATCTAGTCCTCGTAAGTTAGCATTTTATTGCATACTTACTCAATCTAACCCAAATTAACCCGTCCGCCTAGTCCGATCTAGTCCTCGTAAGTTCGCATTTTATTGCAAACTTACTCAAACTAACCCAAACTAACCCGTACGCCTAGTGCGATCTAGTCCTCGTAAGTCAGCATTTTACTGCAGACTTACTCAAACTAACCCAAACTAACCCGTACGCCTAGTGCGATTTTGGAAAGCGTTCTATATTCCTCGTAGATAGTCGAGCGTTCTCATCCAATCGCGCTTTATTCCAGTCGCGTTTTTGTCCATCACTCTTCATTCCAGTCGCGTTTTTGTTCTGTCACGCTTTTGTCCCTCGCGTTTTTGTTCCGTCGCGCTTTTGTCTCTCGAGTTTTTGTCCCTCGCACTTTTGTTTAGTCGCGTTTTTGTTCCTCGCGCTTCTGTTCAGTCGTGTTTTTGTTCCGTCGCGCTTTTGTCCCTCGAGTTTTTGTCTCTCGCGCTTCTGTTCAGTCACGATCTTGTTCTGTCGCGCTTTTGTACCTCGCGTTTTTGTCCCTCGCGCTTTTATACAGTCGCGTTTTTGTTACTCTCGCTTTTCTCCAGTCGCGTTTTTGTTCCGTCGCGGTTTTGTCCCTCGCGCTTTTCCTATCGCGCTTTTCTCCCTCGCGCAAACGGCTGTCGCGCAAATGACACGGAGCCATGATGCCTACGTCCAGAGATAAATACTATATAAACTGTCGAGAATGGAATCTCAGTGTAAATTTTGTTGTCAACAAAATTGAGCCAAGCCAGCGCCATCTACCATATCGGAAAATCACTATTTACTGGTTTTGCATCGATGCTACAGACACCTACTTTACAAAGGACTTTTTATGATAGATGGCGCCCTGTTCGCATTACTGTCGGTCTGTTCAAATTCGTTTATTCTGGACTTTGAGGCATTCATGTTTGCTTAAATTAATTGATAATTTGTTAATTAGATCAAAAGACAGTTTCTCTATCGATGGTTAAGGGTATCCTTAACATATTTATTCAAAGTTCTGATTAATGTTTAATTGAACCTGTCATTTATCTAATCAACAAAGATAATAATAGATCTTCCAATCTATAAAGTTTGAAGTTCTTCTTGAAACACACAAAACAACTTTGAAATCACTTAAGAACACTTGACAACACAAAGAAAGATTAAATGCAAGACCGTCGAACAAAAAACATTATGAATTATTAAGTTATGATCAAATGAATATTTTGGCATATTGTCATATGTTGACATGTCAATCTTATGTCAATGTTATCGACATCGGACGTGTTCTTAGGCGATTTCGGCAAGCTTTGGTACATGGTTTGGTACCCTGTTTGGTCTGTCAAATGCATACCAACCAATTTCCGATACGAAAATGATGTCGTCACCGTGACTTTGGTATCCTTTTTGGTCTGTCAAATAGGATACCGTGGTCAGCAGCACGGTTCTTCTATTTGGTATAGCGCTATCTACGTCTATTTTCGTTTTGTCCTGCTCTGGGAAATGTAAATAAATGGAAGTTCATTAGAATTTGAATAATAATTTGAAATTTTTAGCAAATATGTTTGTTTTTTCGCCTTCATCTTCCTGTTTTCTCGTATGTTTTGACTGCCAAATAATGTTTGACTATCATTTAAAAAATAACTTTGAACGACAGATATGGGGTAATTTTTTTGCTGAATGGATTATGGAATATGCTTTAAATTTACAGAAAACGCTGAGTTAGCCAGGTTACTCAAAGGTACTGTTTAGACAGTGCTGATTAGTGATTATAGATTTTAGTCAGTGCAGTCAGTACCTAGTCACTCCCAAAACTAGAAGAACAACACAAAGTTAGGTTAAGGCTCGTCTCTTCCTCTCTCATGACCTACCAAACGAATTCGGAACAAAATGGTATCTTACGTCATTACTATGACGTTGCAGGTACCAATTGGTTAACCAAATGGTATACCAACCAAAGCTTGCCGAAATCGCCTCTTGATGTGCTGGTATTTTCCAATTTTGACAATTCTGTGGTTGTCAGCGACATCTAGAAAAACGGAAAAGAGTTATTATGTGGTTTATAACTGGTAATGAGAGATCGCTGGGCCTGCCTACGTCACAACTGGTTTTTTGGCCTGGGGAGGTAGGGGGGGATTTGTTACACACAGGCCTTATGAGGATAAGCCATCCTTAGTAGTGTATCATCCTTGCGTCCGACGTACGTTTTCGTAACCAAAGCAATCTTTTGGCCCGGTTGTACAAAGAATGGTTCAACACAAGTTCTGTTGAACCGTCGTTCAATGTTGAACGTGGTTCAGAGTTTCGAGTGTTGTACCACTGCCGGTTTACCTGAACCATCAGTTGCAATGCCCACAATAAAAAGAAGAAAGAAAATAGGCGCAACCCAACCCATAACCTATCAAATTCATTGTTTATTTTTTGTGTTTTCTTTTTTACTATTTATTTAATTTTAATTTTCATATTTTTTTACACACAGGAGTCACAGGACAGCGGACAGGTCACAGATGCATAATTTCATCTATGATAAATCACACTGCTTGTTTCTCTAAACTGAATCTGTCCTTGAATTATTCTTTATCATTACAAATGTTCAAATGATATGTTCGCTGTTCGATTTCTGGATATCTGTGGGGCTCGAGAAAGTATACATAATTTATATGTAACATAAAATTAAGTAATTTTTAAAAATCTTCGTCATCTGTAATATCTTCCCACAGTTCCCACTCAAGATCCATTTTCAATTAAATATAAAATAACGAATATCCACTTGAAAAAAAATATATATTCAAAAGCCATGGTGATCCCTTATCAAAAAACAAACAAAACATAGAAGAGTCAGGTTAGAAAAACCCAAAAAAGACTTGAACTCCCCTTGAACGCCCAAATTCGGACGTTCAAGATCAACCTCAGTTCACACTCTGAACCGACCATGTACAACGAGTTTTTTCCTTTTGAACCACTAGTCAGTGTTCATTGGTGTGAACTTCGGTTGAACGTCCGTTGTACAACCGGGCCGAACGCCCAAATTCGGACGTTCAAGATCAACCTCAGTTCACACTCTGAACCGACCATGTACAACGAATTTTTTCCTTTGAACCACTAGTCAGTGTGAACTTCGGTTGAACGTCCGTTGTACAACCGGGCCTTAAACTGTTTTGTTTTGCTTTTTTGCAGTTCAGTTTTGTGCACCTACCCTAACTTTCGCTTACTATCCTTGCGTTCGGTATTTTGCTCGAAGAGCAGAGCGTGCAGAGCGGAGCCGTAATCACGTGACCAGCGAGCGAACAGAGCAGTTGAACGCTGTATAAAAGTGCCAGAAATTTTAATAAACGAACGCGAATGAGGATACACCGAGTACACTTTTTGAATAAACGAACGGTAAAGTCAAGCTCGGAGAACTCAGACCAAAATAACGAACGCACGGTAATAAGCGCTACAGCCAACTATCGAAAACTATCGATAGTTAAAAAAAACTATCGATATATTTCGATAGTCAATACTATCGATAGTTATCGATAGCGCCATCGATAGTTCTCCACCTCTACTGATTATAAAATATCAGAAAAACCAATAAAAAAATAAAAATAAATTAAAAAAAGGAAAGTGTGAGGTTAGAATTAAACGTCATTTATATTTTATATTATTTTACATTGTTGACACGTTGTCTACATTGTCTACATTAGTTGTATTCCTTACACACCTAGGAGGAGCCCCGGAACAGCTCCGGGGCTTCACGCGCTTATTCCTTTCGAAAAGTGTTTGTTGCACCACGCATCTGTTCCCTGCAAATCGGGGGCGACTGAACACCGGAGCGAGTAGCTCGAGTGTTTCAAACTCTTGAAAGCAATGGAACTATTGTCTACATTGTCTACACGTACAGTAGACAATGAAAGTCTACGTGTAGACGCACATCCCTGATGGGCGCTTCTGGTGCAACATTCACTTTTCGAAAGAAATAAGCGCGTAAAGCCCCGGAGCTGTCCCGGAGCTCCTTCTAGGTGTGAAAGGAATACAACTATGTTTTCGAACGTGTCTCGGGGTCTGATAAATCGAATGACTTTTGTGGCTTGTCGCTTGTCTTTTTTTTGTTCATTCATATTTTTCAAGTTGCCTGAAATTCATTGGATTGGTTTGGTTTGATATTCATGTATTGTAACTATTGTGCGAATTCCCAATTTTCGTTGCCGTTTTCCATTATCGATATCCATACTTTCATTTGAGGCGCTGGTGATTAGCCCGAATCATAATGAATATAACATCAGCAGGTAAGCTAAATTTTCCATTTTCTACCCGCTGATTCATCTACTAAGATATCTGTACCCATTTGTTGCAAGTCATTTAAAGTTTTTTTGAATAATAATAATAATAATAGAGGCATATTATTATTTTGCTGCTCACATGCATTTCTAATATACAGGCTCTTAGTATTATATTATACAGAAAAATACAGGATCGAGTTTATTCTCTAAAATTGCCTCGAAAATTGCAAATTCATTTTACATAACCTCAAAGTCAACTTTTATTTTAAAATGTAGCTGAAGTCTGAAGTGAATCATAGTGCTATTTTGCACCCTAGAGGCCCTCATTTAAATATGCAAACCAATCACAATGGGCTCTTTCACTAAAATTTAAATACGTAATTTAGGTATAAAATCCCAAAGGAGGGACTATTTTAGGCACATATACCAAAAAAAAATGTTCTACAAGGTTAAATAAGTTTTTTACAGGCATTTTAAACTACCAAAATTTGAATTATTTAAAAACGCGCCGATTTGCTGACGTCGCATAAATATTTTTCATTTCGCTTGTTGTTGGAAAGAGCTGTCCGCCTCTGCTGTATTTATCCTGTAGTAAATGCAGGTAAAGGTTCGAATGCGCTGTTGTCGGTGGTGACTAAATGTAGTGCAACGTAAAATAAATAAATAAAACTAAACATAGAAAATTATATTAAATTGTGTTTAAGCATAATTTCAATAAAAATGTTATAAAATCTTGAATCCATAAGTAATTAATTTAACTACTTTTCATGATATTTTGGGAACATTTCAGAATTAAATCTATTACAAATTTTCAATGTTGACAATTAGTGGCAACATGGTCAAATAGCGAGCTGCGACGTCATAGAAATAAATTCTGGGTTTTTATTTGGAGGTATTTCTTTTTTTTCTGTTTTCTCAAGAAGGACTATGAATTTTTCAAAAGTAAAAATACAGAAAATTCTGTTTTTAGTTGCTTTATCCAAATATGCCAATTTCAAAAATTAGTGAAAGAGCCCATTAAGAAACCTGCCTTAGAAATGTGAAAGACTGTGAAAGACCTAAATTTTTTTGTTGTCACATACTATAATAATAATAATTATATTACTTACAATCTGATACAATTTTACAAGTAGGTATGATTTAATACACAAAAAAAAGGATGTTCGCATTATACTTATTTAATTGATGCACCTAGGGGACTAAACCCCTGTATGTGCAAGGTAACAAAACTATTTTTAGATGAAAATTAATGGAACAGGATTTACTTAAACTAATTCTAAAAAAAAACCCTAACGGCAAGTATGCATATATCAAGAGCAAAGATACAAAATCACAATCCAAACACTCCAACCATAAAACAAAAGGGCACACTAGAACAAAATACGAAACCTACTATAACTAGTGGAAATGAATGTTCTACAAAGGTTGCTAAATCTTTTCATATTGTTATTACTTTTCACTTCTTTTGGGATTATATTATATTATTTTCGGGGCAAGATAACATATCGATCAAGTGTTCATATTAGTGTTACTATTTGGAATTATTAAATGCCTATTAACTTTATTGCACGTTTCGTATAAATGATCTACATAAGCTCTCAATTTTCGATTTCTGTGAACAAAAACCGAGATTGAAAGAACATAAAGAGATCAAACATTTAGTATGTCTGCTGAATACAGTAGCTGCGTTGAGTATCGCATATTTCTCTTGTAAGTTGTTTTTAAAATAAAATTTTGAGTCACCTTCAAGGATCGTAACGAGCTCTCATACATTCCACACCACACAACAATGCCATATCTTATTAGGGGCTCAACGAGTAATTTGTAAACTGAAATCAGTAATTTTTTGTTCATTATTTCTCTGAGGATGTAAAATTTATGTATAAGCTTTCTTATGTTTGAGGTTAACTTCAATACATGAGGTCCCCATTTAAGGTGTTTATCGATGATAACTCCAAGATATTTTGTAGAGTATACTTCAAGCAATGGGGAGTCTACGTTATTGATGTCAAGCTCTTTAAAAGAAGGGCGATTGGAGGATGTAAGGGAGAAGGCTATATAGTTTGATTTACTAGCGTTTAATGTTAGTTTGAAAGAGTCTAGCCATGTTTTTATTCTTGAAATACCATGTTTTGCCGATTCCTTCAATTGATGATATTAGTTAGGTTAGAATCGCAAATTGGCGCGGGTTCCTAGTTCAAAAATTAATACATTGATGTCTTATGGGGACTCAATTTTAAAAGCGTCTGTAGTCGTGATAGAACGTTTGTTACGGAATTGAGTTGTATAAATAGTTTTTTTAATATGTTAATTAACTGAGAGAGTGATTGAAAGTTGAATAAACATTGTTAAAATAAAAATATTACCAATTTAAGAAGCCGATGTTTGTATAAAATACGTATGTCCTTGCTTGATTCATAAGTATATATGAGTACCTAATTATAATAAAATAAAAGTTCACCTACATACTTGGTTAGTAAATGTACTTCAATAATCCAAAAAAATTGAAAAATAAATGACTGAACTAGTGATAAATAAATAAATAAACAATTCACCAACAATCATAACACAACACACAACCTCACTTTCTCTCAGCTGGTTTTAGACTCGACGTACGTCCACCGAAAACAGACACTTTTAATTAAAATCATTTGTATTTTTAATTCATAGGTCTAAAAAAACAATTAGAGCATGAATTATAGAGAAATATGTTCAAAGTTTGATGTACAATAGGTTCCAATACTAAGAAATGCCCAGAACCCAAGATATTCCCGTCTGAAAATCACTCTTTTGAATCCCCCATAAGAAATACATTGCTGTCAAATTTGTTGAAATGTGTTTAGGAACCCATTTTAAATTTCGCGCCCGATTTTTCTTAACCTAACTAATATGGTCAATTGAGCCCAGGTGTCTCCTACAATTGTAACAGCTGTATCATCAGCATATGATATGATGGATCCATCCTTTATATTCATGTTTGTTAATGAATTAATATACGCAATGAAAAGTACTGGACCCAGAATGGTACCCTGAGGGATGCCAATCTTAACGGTTTGGGAGTTACTTCGGGTGTCCCCTATTTTCACCACCTGCTGTCTGTTTGCCAGGTAGTCTTTAAAGACATCCAACACGGTCCCCCTCACCCCGTAGATATTTAGGACATCCAAGAGCTGTAGGTGAGGTACCGTATCGAATGCCTTTGCAAGGTCTAGGAATACAGTGAGACATTTCCTGTTCTTATCGAGGCATGTTGTTATCTGGGTTGTTACTTCATATATGGCATGTTCAGTACCAAGCCCGTTTCTAAAGCCAAACTGACTCTTCGAAAAAATTTATTAGATTGAAAGAAGCTGACCAATCGGTTTTTAAGACACTTTTCGAAGATTTTTGAAAAATTATTTATAACACTTATTGGTCGAAAATTGGAAATATTCCATTTATCACCTGTTTTATATATTGGGGTAATAATCGAGGACTTAAACTTTCCAGGGACCTTGCCTGTACTGAATATCAAATTTATGATATGGATTAAGGGTTTTATCAGATGGAGATGAGCCAGTTTTATTGTTTTGGTACTTATACCATCTGGACCAGAAGCGCAATTATTTTTTAAAGAGTTTATGAGATTTATTATTTCATTCTTGCTCACTGGTTTTAAAAATATTGATGAATTTAAGCTGAAGTTAATTTTTGATGCTATTCCTGGGGGCGTAATATTACTGAGCATTTTTAAACCAACGTTAGTGAAATAGTCATTACAATAGTTCGCCATGTCCTTGTCGGTCAAGAATGAAATATTATTATCCTTTATATGTAATTTATTACTGGAATTAGGTTTGCCTTCATTGGTAGCCTCTGAGATGAGCTTATATATTTTTTAAATTTTTAATGTTGTTCCCACTATTTTCTATTTCTTTTTTGTAGTAATTAGTAATCATGTTTACATTTGCTAATTATTGTGTTGAGGTTATTTCGGTATTATTTATAATTTTGATTGTCTATCTCATTAAAGTGTGTGAGAAGCTTTTTTTTCATCTTATCTCTGTTTTTGATTGAACTTATAATACCATTCGTTATCCAGGGTTTAATTTTATTATGTTTTGTTATAATTTTTTTCTCAATTTTCGATTTATTTAAAATATTAAGAAATACATCATAGAAGATATCTAATGCAACTTCTGAATCATTGGCGTCTGTAATAGCCGACCAAGTTTCATTTTCTAGAAGGTCATTCAGAATTTGATAATCAGTATAAGAAATCATTTGGCCAGGAGCTTTGGGTTGATGAGGAATGTGTGAGTTATCATGCCCTCTACTGATGTTGACCATCACAGGATAATGATCTGTGATGGCTGAGTCAAGAACAAAAGCGAAATATTTCAGTGATTTGAGGTTTAGGTTTCTTCTTAAAAAAATATGATCTAAACAAGAGCTAGAGTTTGGAGTTACTCGAGTCGGACCTGTTATTCATTTCATTTCATTTTATTTCCAGAAGAAACATCCTCTAGAAATGCGTTTATTCCATTTTCTTAAATATTACAAAAAAAAAAAAAAAAATACAGAATTCACCAATCCTAAATCAATATAAAACAGTCGCAGACTTTTTTGTATATTGCACCTAGATGTTAACATCTGTATGTGCAGTGTTTCCTATTATTTTATTTATAAATGCTAATAAGTTTTCACTTTATAGAAAAAAAAAAAAAAAAAAACAATAACAACAGTGCGTTTACTAACTAATCCCAATCCTAATCCTATAAAAATTCTCACATCCAAGGAAATAAAGGCAATTAAAGGCAATTCCCCCTCCAATAATGCTAGCCAAAAAACCCTTCAAATTGACGTCGATTTTCGAAAATCTATGCGTTTTAAATGTTTTTATTTTACCGCAATTTCTCACTTCACCTGGCAATAAATTGTAAAATTTAGGGCCAAAATAGTTCACATATCTGAGATTAAGATTATTTTTGCTTATTGGAAGTTTAATATGACCATCTACTCTAGTT